AGAAATGTTAAGGCTGCCATGCCATTCATTAGGCGTGACTTTGAGTTGTGTTTCTAGTCCTGTGGTACGCTCAGTCATCCTCACTCCGTTAGTCCTCCCGGGCAAGACCCGGAGAAAAATAAGAGGTCCAAAGAGATCATCATCGCACATAAGGGTAGACGAGAATGTGGGGTTTGAAGGAGAAGGCTGAGAAGAGGTGACCCACATGGAAGGCAATCACAAACTTGGAAAGGCCATTGCAGACGTCACAGAAGGCTCAGAAAGCTGTGCTGCTCTTGCAAGTTATCTCTACCAATCAGCTAGCAGAGGAATGAGGTAGGGGAACAATTGATAGTCCCACACAGCAGTGACAGCCCACTGGTTCCCAGAGTCACCCAGCTAACAATTTAAAACTGCACAAAGCTGCAACAAACAGTCATCAGCTCTTTTCCTCATGCAGGAGGCATCCTGAGCCAAGCCAAGAGAAAGAGGATGGACAAAGGATGAAGTTCATTCATTTTGGGCTGTCCATGCTTCTTCTTGTACACCCAGCCTAAAGTTTCTCAAGCCTTTTCTCCAGCTTTCTGTGTTCCTCTCTGGAAGGTGGACAATTCAGTGGTAAAGAATGAGTGGATGTTATGTGTGCACATGTATATGCAGTGCTTAAGCCCACGGGAACACCTCAGCATTGGGGGTGGCCATGTGGTTAGCCCGGACATGTCATCCTGACACAGCAACAAAAATGAGGTCTCTGCCTTTCTTCCATTCTCTATCTTGCAAGGGCATTTGCCCAGGATTGCAACTGTGTGAGGTCTTCATCTTATACTTTTCTTATATATCACAGAGCCTAGCACCTACTGAGCCCATACTAGAAGCTTAGTAAGTACTTCTTGATATAAAAACTTCTATTCAACTACATACACTAGACCTTCTCTGCGCTAGGCACTGTCTAGACACTGGAAATATAAAAATGAATCCATCAGACTCGTGCTTTCAGTGGACATTCAACTCTAGTTAGAGGATGATAAACAATTAAACTATACCAGGATCATTGCAAATAACAAAGGCATGTTCAACACAGCATGTTCAACACAGTGCCTGTCAGCAACAAGGAAGGCTTCAGATGACAAATTGGCTCCAAGGCAGAAAAAGGATCAGGGGAGGATTCCAGGCATAAAAGTTCATTATGTGGTTTGGGAGAACAGCAGGTTGTTGGTTGGAACATAACATGGAGGGGGAGGTTGGAGATGATTCTAGAAAGGCAGGCTGTGCAAGGCTTTACATGCCATGATAAAGAGCTGGGTTTCACCCTGAACTGCAGTGTCAGATAGAAACTGGTGCAACAAAGTTTTATTTGCAAAGAATCATTCTGGGTTGGATTGGAAATTGCATGAGTGGAGCCAAGATGATCATACGGAGAGAGCTGAAGAGCTGGGGTCAGTGGGAAGGCAGTGCAAGTCAGGATGGAGAAGAAAGAACAGTGTAAGAGATATTGAATGTAGGTCCCAGAGGAGAGTACATCTGTTTTGCAGAAGCGTACAATTCAGCAGCCTAAAGGCGCAATGGTGGGTGAGTCTACCAGTGTGCTGTGGACAGAGAACAGCCATCACTCACGCTCCTTGGGCCTGGATGGCTGTTGTGGCAGTGCTCGCTTTAAGCTGGCCTTTGAAGAATGACAGAGCGGTGACTTGGCAGAACTATTCATTTACTCTCCTTCTTTAGCTATTATCCTCTGAGATTCGTGTCCTTAACAGTTTTATGTAGCTCTAGCTTTACAGTATAAGACTCTTAGATGGATTCTTTGAACAGAAACCTCCACCAGAAATAGCTGCCATTTTCTCTCACATTAATGCTGCTCATCAACACCTCTTGACAGACTCTGACCTAGGTGGGACAAAGTACATAAAAACAACACTAATAAGTCTTTGCCAGGCTGGCAAACTGATCCAGTCAGAGCATTATAAAAGACACCTGGTTTGTTTTGTTTTGTTTTGTTTTGTTTTTTAACACAGCAGCTGTGAACACAGTAGAAGCATGGCGTCCTAGTTACAAGAGAGTTCTCATTAAAATCCAATAGCAGCAGAAACTGAAATGAACCAATTCTCAGCTATGTCACCTGAATGTGAAAAGAAGTTCCAGTTAGATTAAACACATAATACAAACACTGTTTTGCTGAACTTGGGAACCTGAATGCTAGTTTGCTTATAGGGACGTGATTATCTAACCATCCAAGTATTCTAAATCCTTAAAGCATCTATTATATTTTTAGGGTACTATCATAAATGTACTGAAGCTTTTTGAAGCTTGGCTGACTTATGCCCTGTGGTTGACCAAGTACCTCTTCATTTAAGCTAGCTTAAAAAACAAACCAGAATATAGTCCAATGTAGAATGTGGATACTGCTAAAGGAGCAAATAACCAACATTTAAAATTATCTTTTCAGCTCACTGGCTACTGCAGATATAGACACACAGAAGCTACCAACTTATAAACACCACAGGCAAAATATTTCATAGCTGCAATGTCCACATTACCTTCCCAGAACAGACCAGGGAGGTGCCCTTAGAAGCAGCTTGTTAACAGCTCCTCACATCGCTATTTAACAATTCATTTATAGCCCATCAGAAAACCAACCTCCAAGGAGATGTATTTTATATCTCTACGTAAGGTTTCTTTGCCACAAGGCTGGGTTTTGTACAATCTTTCACTCTGTAAGCCAGAAATCAGATTATGCCATAGTTTCTGTGACTTATGATCCTGTGAGCATGCCCTGTATGGGCATGTACACAAAGACGAGTCCCAAGAACAAACCCTTGGAATAAAAGCAGAATGATGCTCAAGGAAGCACACATCACATCATACAGTCCTGACTAGATAAAGGCATGGTGTCAGCTACCCTCTCACTGTTCTCACTAGAACATGCTAACTCTAACCTTTAGTGTTGATTCTTAAGCTTGAGCCTTCAACAACTACCTGGGAACCTGACCCCAACCCAAGGAAGTTCCCTTTTCTAGGCTTTGGAGTGTGGAGCAATCTTTCAATGCACTTCAAGTATGAGGTAAAAAATGCACACAAATGCAAAGAGTAAACCTAACATTGTGATTTCCCCCACCAAAGCCTAACATTGGTGCCCTGGGGACACTGGGACCAGCAGAGAGATGGCCTTTCTTGCAAATGGTATACTAAAAAGCCCTGAAGCGCTAGGCACGGTCAGCTGCCCAGCTTGCAGCCAGCCAGACTAACACCCGCCTCGCCCTGCTTGGAGAAGTATGCAGCCAGACCTCCTCAAGTAGCAGAATCTTGTCAACACAGACCCCACTCGGAGTCCCAGAAAGATGAGAGGAGAAAACCTTAGGAATGCAAGACCCTAAGAAGAACCACAGACACCACCAATCTGGGGGCCAGGGCTGGGAAGTGAATTCTTTCCAATATCCCCTCTGGCACTTGGCCCAGCAGTCCACAAGCATGTGCTTTGAGGCGGAGTAACTGAATTTGTCCTGGGTTGCGCAGATCATCCTAAACTGCATCCAAGTAAGAAATAAGACACGTTGTGAACTCGCTTTCACCTATAACCTAGATATAAATGAACCAAGAGGCAAGAGGTCTACACTCATCTATCCACACCTCCTCCACGGTAAACCTTTACATACCACAGCTGAAATGAAAATGTGCACAGAACCATCCTTCCCTTAAATCGGACTGCTCCACATGCTGGCTAACCACAAAAGTGCCCACAGGTATGCTCCCTACCTTAGAGAACCTCCGTTTGGCCATTTTCCCAAAATTTTCAAGGCAGACAAATTCTCAGAAGAACCGGCTAACGTGAACAGCAACTGTGCCCCAGGTCCACTTCTTCCCTCTCCGCTGGAATAACAAGGCCTTTCAGTGGGGCCCATGTGGCTCTGTGCCTTTTTTCCTTCTTATGTTTTCAAGGTTCTCTTCCCTCTGAACCTTGACGTATCTCACGTATCTCCAAGCACAGCACACTGCCTTGCACCCAGAATATAATGAAAAAATAGCCTGCCGTTGATGTCACTGCCTCCTCGTTCATTTTCTAGGGTAGGCAGCTTAGAAAAGCCACGGTGCCAGGAAGGGTGGGAGCATGGAAGACGGGTACACTAATAGGTGCCCTACTTGAGACGTAACCGAACACCTAGGTCCCTTTGCCCGTCGCCCTGCCTGTCTGGGTGAAAGTTAGATACCTTTACAGCATGCTGAAAACGATTAGAGGATCATCACTCCAGCCTTCCTGTGCTCGCCAACATTCCCCCTGGATTCCATCGTGTTCAAAAGCTGTGTCTGACCTCCAGCTGACTTCTGCCTGCAGAGCAGAGCACCCTCGCCATCTAAGTCACGCCCTGCCAAAAGCACAGAGCCTCACAGGCACAAAAAAGCAGAATGCAAAATTCAGGAAGTGACCCTTTGCTTCTCTGGTTCTCAGAGGGTAAAGGCTCTTACTTTTCCGAATGGTATGGTCTTTATTTCACCCTAAAGTATTCAAGTCGGCAGACGAAGGGAAGCACTAAATGGCATGAAGTCAAGTAAGAAGCTGGCACCTTTCCAGGCGATTTGAGATGCTGTCAGCCAAATCGGGTCATTCAGGTCTCCGAGAAAGGAGAAGAGGAGACTTACTCAGCCTTAGGTAATCTACAATACTCAGACTTCATTCCCAAAATGACAGCTCTCCCACCTGGCTTACCTCACTTGGAATATAGATCAGATCAAAGGGCGCAAAGTGAGAGTGACACCTGCCCTGCTGTCCCCACCTATCACTGGCCATTACTGCTAGGACTCATGAGTCAGGAGAGCCCCGGGTATCAACAATGCAAGGCACCAGTCAAGTGAACTCATGACACAGATTTTTAAAATCTCCAAGATCTCAAGTCAAAGGAAAGATATAGCAGATACAAAACACACCAGGGGTCCAATCCTTAAAATCTTCCATTTCCCAAAGCCAGGTGTGCCAACTCTGTGGCAGGAGGTTGGGCAGGAGCACAGAAAGAGGCCCAAAGAGAACTCACCTCTGTTCGTTTGGGTGCTGGCCTTTGATCACAAAATCTATACACAAAAATATATAATTGGTCCATACAGCTGAGTGAGGAGACATTCCAGTCTGGTTTGTTCTGTCAGGAGTCTGACTGGATGGTTAAGGATAGTCTGGGAAAAACGAATGGTCCAGAAGCAACGATGAATAATGAAGGAACTAGTGTGGAGAAGTTTCCTCCCTTTGTCTGAATTCTTCAGAGCAGTCCAGAAAAGAGCTTAGCAAATTCCCACTCCCCTTTTTATAAAATCTGTATTGCATTTCTTCTTGCCTACTCCAGTGTGGATCTATTCATCTGAGCATTCAAAATTAGGCTGGAATAATCCTAATTCTAGATTGTCTCTTGACCTGGGTTCTCTGTTAGAGACCCCAGCACTTTTCCGAGCCACACCCACAGCAAGGGGGCCACCCAAGCCCTGCCTCTCTCTTTACCTCTCTCATCTTTCAGCAGGACCATACCACTTCTGCTAGGGAACCAGGGGAAGCGCTAGGGAAATGGGCAGCTTCAGAGACAAACAAGCTGCTCTTTGGGGTTGGATTTTTTTTAATTACAAGGCTGATTTCTATCTGTCACTCATTTCTTCCAGGAAATACTTTACCGTCAACATCTCATCTTCGGTTTCTGCCTCCTCACGTATAGGGGATGTGAGAGAAGCAGGATTACTGACCTCATTCTATGGGCAGTCTTCAGAAAGACAAAGTTACACGGCCCATCACGGTGCTCTGGAGAGGGGACAAGGCAGCCAAGAAGAAATCACAAACTTTCACTCCGTTTTCCAGGACTGCAGAGGAATGATGTCTCTCTAAACCTAACAAGCTCGTTCTTCTCACCCACACCTGCTTTCGTGGGGTCGGCGGAAGAGGCAGCTAACATTCTCTCCACTGTTCTTCAAAAAGGATCATTTTTCCAGTCTGCATTTCACCTCCTCATTTAACTTGCATATACAAAGGAAAACTCAGGAACGCATTTCAGCTCTCCAGCAAAGAGAATATTGCTGCTCAAAACAGATACATCAGTTCCTTAACATCTACCAAAAGCGAAGGTCCCCGCGTGCCCCAAAGGGAAAAAAGTTGGCTTTTTCCAGCTCTTCTGTATAAACTTTCACTAAGAGCCATCTATTCCCTGCTCTTGAAACTGGAAATTCACCGCCCACTGCAAACAGTGTCTGTTCTGTGGTCAGACAGACATGGGACTGCCTGTTAAACAAAAGCAGACTGAAGAATTGATGCTCTCTTTCAAGACTCACCCCAGTCGCAAATAATAAGCAACTGTATGAACAAGCAGATCCGTGAATAGGTTCAAATGCTTGAGTTCTGAGTAATACTGCTAGTTAGAGTCGCTGTACAGTACTTCCAGGCTTAGGTTTTTTTTTTCCTTTCTTTCATCTCTGGAAACTTATTCAGAACCATACTAGCTATTCCCTCAAAACTTTACTGTAAGATGCAAAAGGCATTTATTATCCTATAATTGCAGTTGGCTCATCTCTCCTGCTGTTGAGGCGAGTATTCAATTAAAGTGAGAATAAGAGCTTTCTGAGCATTGACTGAGTGACCCCGGCCCTATGAGAAACTCAATGAAATAGCGACAAGCTTACTCGCTGGGAGTCAGCCAATTTGAGAGGCCTAGGTTTTAGTTCAGTCAAGGCCATGAACCAGCCATGTGAACTTGAGCATTACCATTAACATCTCTGGCTTCTGTATTCTCAACTGTATAATGTAGGCAAAGGACTAGAAAATCTCTAGGGCTAGGTCCTTGTAGATCCATACGATGTGGAGAATTATAAAGAGGAAGAACCTTTTTTTTTTTTTAAATCCTCACCCAAGAACATTTTTTCTTTGCTTTTAGAGACAGAGACACACATATCAATGTGAGAGAGAAACATCGATTGGTTGCCTTCTCATAGGTGCCCTGACTAGGGCTTGAACCCGCAACCTGGGTACATGCCCTGACCAGGAATGAAACCGATGAACAACACTCCAACCAACTGAGCCTTCCCAGCCAGGGCAGAACTAACTTTTTTTAAATATATCCTAAGACACTGGACTAGAGAATTTACATATCCCAACAGCCCTAAGAGATAAGCCTTTTTATTACCACTTCAGATGAGTTAAGAGGTTCAAGATGACAACAAACAAGTTCAAGTTCAAGAACCAGAATTCACACTCAGTCTACTCCAGTGTCTGTGTTCTTCTCCTAGAAGCACTCCACAGCATGGCAGTGACCTGATGCCGCTTCTCAGCAATGTACAATCCCTGTAAGGGAAATCAACCTCACGGATAGGAACTCAAGGACAGCATCAAACAGAATAAAATACAAACCAAAAATCTGAAGTAGACATGACTGGCATTACAGTGCAGCAACACACATCACTGAGCACATGCATCCACGGCACTCACACCAGCAGGGCCACGCATCCTTTTTGGGTCATTCAGGAAATGAGATCGTTTTCCGTATGTCTGACTCCCGCATACCAAGGGAAAACACCCCTGAGGAGAATACAAGGTCTGGTGAGCCTGTAGATTTATTGAATACTTCTTTCCGGACTTCACTGGAGAGGGAAGTGTTTTTTAAGTTGTTCGTCCAGATACCTGAAGTGTAACCTTTTGAAGCTTAACTTTATTTTATGCCAACCATTTTTTTGTTGGAGAGCTTTCCATAATGCATTACATTACTTCCTCACTTCCTAAATCTCATAATTTAAAGTTTGTCTTTAACTAAGATGTCACTATTATTATCATATATACCATCAGTCATTGTGTGGTGCCATACAGAGGGGTTTAACTCTATATACATGCCCTTCCGATGAAGCTATGCTTTCGGGATTCTTGTCATTTTTTATCAATTTTCCTCTACCACACTGTTAGAGAGACATGGCCTGAGGACAGAATACCTGACTGTGACTCTGGCTCAGACACAATGAACAATGTGACCTCAGGCGTGCTATTTAAAAGCCACGGGACTCAGTTTTGTCATCTGTTCCATAAGAAATTTGGGTTATTCTTTCTTAATCCGCTCTTATTACCTCCACAGTACATCTCTCTCTCTCTCTCTCTCTCTCTCTCTCTCTCTCTCTCTGCTTCCTTCTCTACATCTGCTCTGAAAACATGCTTCATTATAGCTGTTTGAATCCAGAAATTTATGAAGTAAAAGCCAAAATTCCCTCTTCTTTTAAATTAATTAAAAGAATGCCAGTATGGTCACACTATCGGATGAGAGGAAAAGAAAAAAGATTACTCCTTTGGTAGCGGAGGACAATCAGGGAACACCTGAGAACACTTCCAATAGATTCCTAGAAATCACAGTTTTAAAGATGTGCATGAAGGATGGCTTTAAAAAAAAAAAAAGGACAACATTATGTTCATGGATTGTTTAAAAAGTTGTAAAGGAAACAAAAAGTTGTGCAAGAAGAGACTGACCAAGCAGTGATGCAGGTGAGGTGTGTACTCCTGAGGCTGGACGGGATGAGAAGATACAGCCTCGGCCTGTCACCCACTTAATTAAGGAGTAGTCAGGCCCTAGGGGAAAGAAGAGAGGCAGAGAGGGAAAGGAAAGTTTTCTTAGAAAAAACATGAAGGGCTCAAAAGGAAGCCCACTGAAAGACAAAATATGACTAGAGAACATCGGGTTGGTGTCAAAATGAAATCCATGAACATTCGTTCCAAGGTAGGTAGCATGGCGTGAACACCTGGCTGTCCCTGCTAGGACAGGAATGGCTAGAACAACCCCCCTTCAGAGGAGACCAGAGAGGGAACAAAAGTCAGGAGTTTTGGAAACATCTCCAGCTACTCTATGCCTGCCTCTCAGCTTGGCTTACCTGAACCCTACCATCTGCCCAGCACTCTGAGTTTCCTGGTTTTCTTCATAGCCACGGCTGTACTTCAGAACAGCGTCATGGAAAACGCTTTGGAATTGCAGTCCCGTGATGTAGATTCTGGCCCTACGGTTGCCAGGTACAGCCTATGAGATCTCTGGCCAATATATCACTTAACCACTCTGGGCTGCAGATTCCTCATTTGCAAAATGGAGAGAGAAACTGCATCCTTGAGAGAGTTGTTAGGAGTATATGAGAGATAATGTAATAAAACACTTAACACAAGGACCACTCACTAAATGATGCAGGTGATGAGGATGAAGGAGGAGGAAATAGAGGAACTATAGAAACAATGACCACTAAAACAGCACACAAGCACCTTTAATCACATCGAATGGATAATGCTCCCAAAATATAAGTGTTCTACAGTTTTCCATAATCATAGTCCATAGGACTGGGCGAGCAGTTTTGTGCACCTGGAAGGCCACACCCATCAAACACAAGCTAATGCCTTAGTCAGTCCCCTTTCCTGACCATACTCTGAAAACTCCACTTCATTTAGGCAAAGACCAGGCTGAACTGTATATTTTCACAATCTAAGAAGAAAGGATCATCAAGCAAATAATATATTTGCCATAACATGCGTATTTTGGCATTGTAGGAACAGTTTCAAACACATAGTAGCACTCGCTCCAACAGATGACGTGAGTCATTTTTGCCTCTTCTCTGAGGTGCGCCCTGAGATGCCCAAGTAGGCAACCTTTTATTAGTTTGGTTCCCGTATGTTCAAAAATCAATAAAACCGAGTTTGTTTGGTAACAGGCTATAATTCTAACCTCTCACTAATTCAGTCTAATGTTTTTCTCCCTGAATACTAGGTCTGGCAGCGAACAGTCTTTAAGCTACGCCCCTTCGGGCATGTGAGCCGTGAGTACTCTCACACCCATTCTGTTCAACAAATACACACAGAGACTAAGTTCTTAAACACATCTAAAAACAAACACAGCAGTGAAGGGCTCTGTCAGAAAACAAACTCCAGTCTTCTTTCTAAAGTAGCATTCGCAGAGGAAAATATGTCATCTGTATATCCCACACCCTAGGGGGCTTCATTTGGCACCGATTCACTCTCTGGGAGATCCCACACCAAAGGGCAACTTTGGAAAATCGATAAGAAAAATGCAACTGCTCTTCGGGTTACTCCCAACAACCCCTTGCCCCCTCACCCCCAACCTTCCTTGGTAGAAACGCAGCTCAACTCAGATTTATAGAATTTGGTTTATTCCTACCTTCCTCTGGTGCACCCGCTGGGAGTATTTTTCACACTTGACTTGCCTATGCTAAGGAGGAGGTAAGCTACTTTTCTAGGACCAGCTGCCAAGTTTTTGGCTGCTACTGTTTGAAACAGGGAGCTTACCGCACAGAAATTGAGGTATGCTTGGCTGCCCCTGGATAAAAGAGCCTATGGTCCACTCAAGGATTCCTCCAAAAAAGTCCTGATAACATGTCCGGTGCCCTCAGCTCAAAGCAGAAATACCAGTCCCTCATACGCTGAAAAAGAAAAGTACAGTCGCATACCCCTCTCTTACTGTGTAAAGACCTCAAAATAGGATCTCGAAGAGACATCTGCACACTCATGTTCACCATGGCTTCCTTCACAACAACCAGGAGATGGAAGTAAACCAATGTCCATGAACAAATGAAAGGATAAAGAAAATGTGGCATCTACCTTAAATGGACTATTGTGCAGCCTTAAAAAAAAAAAGAAGGAAACCCTGCTGCGTGCTATAACACGGATGAGCCTCAAGGACATTATGCTAAGTGAAATAAAAATAATGTATGATTGCACTCATATGAAGTATCTAACGTAGTCAAAATCAAGGGCTGGGAAGAGAGGAGGGAAAATGAATGTCTGGTGGGTAGAGATTATAAGGGTTGCAAGATGAAAAAGTTCTACATCTCTGTTGCACAACAATGTGAATATACTGTATTAACATTATAGTATATTAACATTACTATACACTTAAAAACGGTAAAGATGGCTCTGACTGGTGTGGTTCAGATGGTTGGATACTGTCCCACAAAGCAAAAGGTCACTGGTTCAATTCCTGGTCAGGACACAGGCCTAGGCTGCAGGTTCAGTCCCCAGTTGGGGTGAGTGCAAGGGGCAACCAATCAATGTTTCTCTCTCCCGTCAATGTTTCTCTTCCTCTCTTGCTCTCTCCCCTCTCTCTAAAAATAAATAAAAATTTTTTAAAAATTTTAAAAAATGGCTAAGATGGTAAATTTAATGTTACATGTTGTACCAAAATAAAAAAAATATTGCTGCAAATGGTGCAAATACAAGTCCATCAGGCCCTTCTCCCCTCACCCCCTACTCCTACTCCTTCCTCTTCTCACATCTAACAATATACCT